GAGGAGTTATTTCTGAAAAGTTTGCCCTCTGGAAGAGAATTGCCTATATAAGTCCACGATATCGTACACCCCCCATATAGCGGTACCTCCCTATATTCAGTATTTTGATGATTGTAGCCAAAAGTTTCAATGGAATTGTCTGAGAATCCACACCTGGAGTTTTTTTTTTTTTTTTTGAGTACGTCACCCGCTGGAAGAGAATTAACGATATTCGGTATTTCTATGATATTAGCAACATTATTCTCCGTAATTGTTTCAAATCTGTTGATAATAGCGACATTATTCAACTGAATTGTTTCAAATTTTATATTTGAAGTTCGGAATCGATACATGACAAAAAATTACTTATGCAGGTCTACGTCTTCGTATATTAACCATATAAAGGTTTTTATTAAAGTGGTATATTTCTACTTTTTTTTATTGTTCAAGATCCCTCAAAATGGTGGAGGGTACTAAAATGTTGGCCCTGCCGAACTTAGGTGTTTTTTACTTGTTTGAAATTTGCATTGACGTGGGTACTCTTCTTGCCTTAAATGAGATTCAGGTTTATTTTTATTTTTATCGTTTGTGGCGGAGGTGCCAGTAAATTAACCTATTATCCCACTTCATCCAATTTTCGTAAAAATATTGGAAAACGCTAAGTTTAGGGAAACTATTTATGCAATTTATAAATATTCGAAATGTTAGTCCGATTTGCAAAGGTTGAACTCTCTTTTTATTGGATTCAAAACATTTTAAAATCATGACCAACTACTGAATAGTTGCGATATTGACAGAAATACCAAAACGTGCTAAATTGAAAGAAGGTTGGAAATTATTTTAAATTTTACGAGGGTTATTATTATTAAAAATATTGATTTCTGTGGGAAAGGCACGAAAAAATGGACCGATATTTGATGTTTGACATGTTTGTTTGTTAATATAGGCCTTTCTGAAAATTTGAACTTTTCTGGGGTAAGTCCCGTTTTATACCGGATTAAATTTTGACAAAAATATTGGAGCGTGCGATGTTTTTGGATAACCGGTAAACCATTTCGCTTTCTATAAGAATTGTTGTCTCTTCGTGTGCGAAGTAAACTTTGAATCGATTCAGAACATCTTTTAAGAATTATCGTTCGCACCAGACAGGTAGACGGGGAACATCTATAGATGGCCTTAAATGTCCTGAAACGGAACTCGTTCACGGGTCTAAATGTAGTGTTGTGGATAATAAACTGTAATGGATAATAAAGTGTAGTGGATAATATTTACTAAAAATTAAAAAAGTTCCAGATTGTTTCCGTTCAATGGAGTACACTGTACTACGCTCCTAAACTCAATTATGAATGTCTAGATATATATAAATGTGTACCTATCAACATACATGTACATACATAAGCAGAGAGGTTTATTTGTTTGTTCAAAATTCCCATAATTTTTGGCGATTTTCCAAAATTATTGTTAACGTCCAATAAATTTAAAACAGATATAGGAGAATTCATGATTACAGGGTTCACCTAAAATATTGAATTGAATTTGAGTATTTTTTGTTGGCTACAAATTTTCCAGAAGAAGCCTAGGTGATTCAAAGAGTTTCTAGATAAGGATTGTGTGAAAGCAATTAGGATTGTGTTTAAAAAAATATTTACAAATTAAAAAATGTTTTCTCCAACAACAAAAACACTTCTTTCACAGTGCTTTGTTTATAACTATAAACGGTGATTTTATAATAACAACAAAAAATGAAAAAATGAAGTTTGACTTTTTTGAAACAATAAAAAAATATTTTTTTTATTTATGGAAAATCATGCGGAAAAAGTTGTTATGATCTACTCTAATGAGTCTTAACAAGTTGTTTGTCTTATTAGCAGCAAAGAATACATGTGGGTTATATTGTGGTGTTGTTTTTTTTTTTTTTTGCGATCTGTGTTGTTTTACTCGCGAGCCGAATAAGTTCACACACACACATACGCATTTACATACATACTTATATTTGCGCATGAATCGAAGACGAAATTATGAACTTATTTGTATACCTCTTAATCGGTATATGAAGTGAAATGCTTTCCTCGCATACAGATACTAATTGCCTCTGTTTCTGGTGAATAGATTTTCTCAATGAATTTCCTCGGGCCATGATTCATATGAAAATCATTTTTATTTTATTATTATTTTTGTTTCGAGGGAAATTCTTTGGAAAAATATTTTCGAGTTCATCTGTTGAATGCGTGACCGCTGCTATAGTCGCTCTGGTCGAGATTCTTCAGAGATGAATGGGACATTTTATTTGATAACACGAAAAACAAATCTGGAAACTCAAATGAAATTATATATTTATAAGTTTTTGTTTGTTTTGTTGCAGATCATTTACCAGGACATTATGTGAAACACTTGAAATATACATATATTCTTAAAATGTAAGTACTTTCTTTTTTGGGGTGTAAATTATAAGATTTTGGGCGTTGTTTTCAATGGGAATGTGTCAATAAAAGAGGAAAGTGATGACAGATTGCTCGATTCTATAAGACGGAATTTTTAGAAACTCGAAGTAGACTGGACGAATAGTACCAAAAGCAACCAAAGATTGTACGAATGGTATTGAGAGATTTGTTTTTGGTAAATAATTTTTGAAAATTCATATTTAAAATTTATCAATAGATCCTAAATACATATCTATATTTAATTGAAATTAAGATAAGGAAATGAAATTCGTACTCTAAAGATACGTTAAGTGATAGACGTTACTAAATATCTTATCACTTGAAAGAACTAATGTGCAGTAAATATGTTAAGACTATTTTTGAGGTAATGGCTAGAATTCTGAAAATCGGTACAAGGAACACCCTTGGTAAATGTTCGCAATGTAAATATAAATATTGTACATTTTTTTTTTTTAAGAAATGTCCTAACTGGCTGACGGACTGGGTGACTGACAATCACCGCCCAGACTAAACGGCTGAAGGGAAAATCTTGAAATTCTGCACGAGGGCCAGTCTCTGTGCGCAGGCATGTGATAAGGCTGGGTTGTGAATTCGTACTAAAAGGATGCGGAAATTACTTAAATGTACTAAAACTTGAATACTTTTTGAGAAATTTTGAATGAGAGTCACTGATGGAGTGCAGGATTGGCGTATCCAGGGGTTTCTGGAAACTCGAACTTTAAGGTTACAAAAAGTTCTAATGATGATTGAATAATGAATGATTCAAAATGATGCTAAACTTCTAAAATGATACCATTTTGAATTATGTAAACGGATAGAGCTAAAAACTTGATATGAGAATCAAGGTTAGAAAGTAAATTTGATATATGAAGGTGGTTTTGGAAATGTGTACTAAGTGATATGAGAATCAAGGTTAGAAAGTAAATTTGATATATGAAGGTAGTTTTGGAAATGTGTACTAAGTGTACGAACTGTACTAAATTTGGAGCAGTATGGTTTAATATGTACGGATGAAGCTAGAATTTTGAATTTTGTCCCTGTTGCTGGTAGGTTTGTGATAAAGAAGTGGTTTTAGAAATGTGTACTACAAGTGCACGAAAAGTACTAAAAAGTACTATAGTTGGTACAATTTGGTATTGGGTGGATGGATAGTTCTGGAAATGTAAAATGTTGTATTTGAGTTGCCGTTCAGTGTAGCCTAGAAATATGGAAATGTGTACTCTAATTGTACGAAAATATTTGGTATTGGGTGAAAGGATAGAGATCAAATTCTAAAATTTTATTTTTAAATTACTGATGGTATCTGTGTTGGAGATTCGACGGTGGTTTGGAAATACGTCTTATATTTGTACGAAATGTACTAATCGGTGCTATTTTTTATACAATTTGGTATTACGTGAACAGATAGTTCTTTAAATCTGAAATTTGATATGATGGTGGTTTTGGAAGTTTGTATTATAATTGTACGATAAGTACTAAATGGTGCTAAGTTTGGTCTTGTTTGAAGTTTTTAACTAATATCCTCCTAGGTAAACATAAAAATGAAAGATTTTGAAGACTTTTCGGTGTAAAAGGTAAACGTTTTCCTTTTACTCTTTACGAAGAAGGAAAAACAGAAATGGAATATAGAATCTAGAAAGTCTGAAAATAAATAGTACGATGTTTGAGGTTTTGATTAAAAATTCTTGTCAAACTGAACACATTGTACATTTCGAACAACACAAAAGGCCTAATATGACCTGTGGGGACGAAACTTAGATTTTAAGGTTGACTTTTCGCTGATCAAGTAGCGGGCTCTACCTAGTTATAAATATATAATGCAGCACAGAAAGCTATTTGTCCTTTGTCATAAATTCCTATTTCATTGTTTATGACCCTATTTTCAGACAGATTTTCCTGATTTTCAATAAATTGCCCCTTTTAATTTAAGAAAAATCTTCTGCAAAATGTTATCCTAATTGGTTTATATTTTGCTAAAGCCCCCCAAATCTTAATTTGACACATTTTCACGAGATCGGAATTTGATAACCCCTGGTCAAATTTGGGGAGATGGGACTGGGTTTTTTTAAAACTATAAATATGTTTAATTTCTGGACATTTCATATGGAAAGTTTCACATTTTGTTAGTTTCCCCCAAAAAATATTGCTTTCCTCTCTCACAATCTGGCAAAATCTTATACACAAGAACAGCCAACCAATTTCCTCTGCAGGTACATTTTTGGAATGCAAATACTTTGGCCAGATAATAATAATAAACAAAAAGGAAAATCAATACAAATCGATGATTACAAAAATGCAAATAATTTATTCAAAGTGAGGGGCGCAAGAACACTCTTTAGGCTGCAGTATTTTCATTCAGTTTTTCGATTTTTCACAATAAATGTACAGATAGATAGATAGGTACATATATGCATGTATGTATACAAACAAATGAGTAAAAGTATATCTGTGTATGTGTGAAACAAGTGATCTTTGGTTTTGTTGATTTTGTTTTTTTTTTTTTCGAGTGTAAAATTTTTGGCACAGAAATCATCAGTTGGCCAAACTTGACGTTCCATTGGTCGAACAATTAATGTCGCATTAAAAGCTAAACAGCCAGACCGCCGCAGAAATCTCAGTTCGACTTAGTCGAAATACAAAATGCCTCCGTGCTTTTAGTTCTAAAGCTCATGAGAATACCGGCGGACGTTTCGTTTTTTATGCTGAACGGAAAATATAAATTTGTCGTGAATAAAAAGTGTTTGAAAGACCTGTGAACGGAACAAAGAATTAATTGCTGATTATTTAACCAAAGAAAGCAAACTAAAACAAACAAAAAAGCCAACAAAAAGAATAAATAAATCACACATAGACCCGATGCACGATTTACTAATGTTTGATTAGACCTCCAATAAAAGTTCTAGTCCGATCGATTGATTCTTTGATTACAAAGTTATAAAAATAAAAAAGGCAAACAGAACCGTTGGCCGCCGTAAGAGTAGCTGCTGCAATAAATGAATCGAATGTAAGTTTACGATAGTCAGACTTCTGTTCTTTTTTTATTAATCTCTAATCACGGCACAGACAAGCGTTTTTATGACGCCAAAATGAAGGTAGTTTGAATCTAGCCACTTGTGGTTGCAGGCCAGACATGCGAGTAAGTGGAAGATAACACGAACACCTAGTGGGGGCGAAATGATTTCCTTGCCCTTGAAAGATAATGTCCATAGTTCGAATGTATAGCTTTTCACGTGATCTATTTACCTTGAGGGGTAAGGTATGATATATTGTTGTCTTATTGAATGTAATACTTTACAAAGGGATCGTATTCTTTAGGATTTTACCAAAATGAAGCATTTTGTACGGTTGTATTAACCAAATACGCCGGTACTATAATTTCATTCAAAGCAACCAACGATGAAAACATTTTAAAAAATAATAAAACAGTGTTGACTAAAAATTAAATATTCAATTGGCTTTTTGAAGATTATGTTTTAACATAAAACAAGACAGAATGGGCCGAGACGAACTCACCCGAAGATTGATAGAAGAATTACCATATCTCAAATTAGGAACAACTCGGATACTGCCTCCGATGCTTAACGTACGCGCTAGAATATTTAGACTCGCTTTAGCGTCAGTATTCATCCATCTATCTTGCTGACGTTCAGCTTCGGAGGCAGTATCCGTTTTGTTCCAAACTTGAGCTATTTTTATTTTTCTTTTAATCTTCGAGTGTGTTCGAAGTTGTACCATGGGTCCACTCCGTCTGGTATCCACATACCACAAAAGTTTTAACATTTTGAACAATGATAATAAGGTTCTAAATATTTCCCGATTTTCTTCAATCGTTTTCATTTATCTCAGCATTTCTATGGTACGTACATACGTGCGGTACGTCCCTAAAATGAGTGAACATTTCGAATAAAAATAAATGCCACGATAATTTTTCCAGTAAAAAAAATTTATTACATTAAACCGAGAGAATTTTGTAGCTAGATGGAAAATATCAATTTTTAATGCTGAACAAGTAAAACAATATTAAGTTCGGCCGGACTGAACTTTCAATCCCTCTTCACCCTTAGACAAAAAAAAAATAAATAAATAAAAGCATCTTAATCGGAGTTTCACTTTAATCTGTAAATACCAGTGAGGTCGGTTGAAGAATGCAGTTAAAGTTTTAAAAGTTGGTTGATCCGTAATATGGGGACAAAAAAAAACGTGAAACTATGTATGCAATGTTCTCCCACCCGATCAAGAAGCCATTACCAAATTTTAGACAAATTCTTTAGAAAATGTGGTTTCAAATGACAAAATACTATACAACCCGTTTTATATTCTTAATTCTAACTTTGAAGTAATTCTGTTTAAAAAGTAGTCATCAAAATATCGGAAGGTACTGTTTTATAGGAGTTATGTTGGGATGTTAGGTACTAGAAACTAATTTCAAGTCAGGTGACAAAATTATAAAAATACCGAATATAAGAAATTAAGGTTATATTGGGTGCAATACAAAGACGTAGGCCTGTAGTGTTATATGGGGACTATACCAAAACCTAGACCGTAGACAGTTCAATGGAAGAATGTTAATTACTTAATGGGGACATATGCAGCCAATTTACAGCGAATTCGGGTTAAAGTTGTGATAAAAATATCAAAAAAAAATCTTACATTTGCGGGACAGTTATATTTGAGACAAACGTGCAAAGACCTAAAATGGTAAAGACTAGACAAAATGCTTTTTGAGCAAATGGTTTGTGTCTACAATTCGTAGAGTAACAGCTCATGGCTGATACATGTTAATGTAATAATAACAATTACGGAAACGAATAACAAATACAATTTTGAAAAATCCGAAATTTTGGTTTCAAAATTCTATTTCAGAGACCTTTCTAAAAGTTTGCATATTTTCTTAGCGGCTTAAATCAATGAACATTGGTAGCTATGTTGTTATGATATCGTAACAACAAAGATATTTTCACAGGGTTGCCATATTTTGACTCTGTCTTGTCCCATCTTTATACCTCTATGTCTTTGAAACGTGGTCCTATAGAGATCGCTAAGTCGACATAGAATTTTATGCTGATCAAGAATATGTATACTTTGTGGGTCCTTAATTTTGGGTTTCGAGGTGTGAATGGAATGATAAACTAAACATACCCTCCATACTATGGTGGAGGGCATAAAAAGATATATAAGGTCTCTAGCCATCTGGCTGAGGGTTAAATCATTTTATGGTTCGATATCAGTAGTGCGATTCTGTAAGTAGTTATCTACAAAGTTACCGACATCGATAGCAACAAATATTAGGTCTGTTCCAGATCTGCAAGTATGTGAAAATTGCTACACTATCTTGTTGTTGACAAAAAAGATAAAAAAAATTGTATGAAGCTGCGAGTGCTAAGGCAGCAAAGAACCATATTTGCATTGCCTGAGTCCAATTTTAATTAAAATATGTACTTAATGTGTTCTTTTAGATTTTTAAATTATAAAAAATTGATGCCAAATTATAGCTGACACTCTTACCTTTCCAAAATGCTACAATTGTGCTAATACCTTTTCTGAGTCCAGAGATATTCTCTTCTGGGCATGTTAAACCGGCAACGCGGACTAATTTAACAGTTGTCGACCTCTGGAAAAAATGTCGAAAAAAACGAAGAGTTTTTACTAAACTAACGTTAAACATAGTTAATTTTTCTCAGCAACTGAATATTTTGAAAATTTCGTCATTTCCGATTTGTGTAATTAAATGTATTTGTTGCCAAGAAATGTCAACCCACAAAACAGACACACAAATATATGTATGTAAACAGAGAAAAATGCTTTGTGTATACATAAATGTGTTTATTTTTAAAAAATAAACCAATTGGTTAATTTTTTTGTTGTTAACAAATTTAAACCTACAAATATCGTCATAAAATTGTACAATATTAGTTTTGCCAAAAAGGGTGATCATGTTGATGCTTATTTGAACCGCAATTTGAAATTAAAAATATCCCCTTTACAATTTTTTTCTTTCCTCTGTAAAAGCTTTCAATAAACATTTTCATATAACACGAATTAAAGTCCTGAATACATACCACATATTTTTATACTCTCCACCATAGCATGGAGGGTATATTAAGTCTGTCATACCGTTTGTAACACCTCGAAATATACATTTTAGACCCCACAAAGTATATATATTTATAATCAGCATAAAATTCTATATCGGTTTAGCAATGTCTGTCCGTCTATCCGTCTATGGAAATCACTCTAGCTTCGGAAGGAAATAAAGTAGGATGATTAAATTTTACTGCAGGACTTTTGGTATTGAAAATGGGCCGTGTAGGTGCACGTTTTGGTATAGCCCCCATATAACGGTACCTCCCGATATTCGGTATTTTAATGATCTTAGCGACATTATTCACCGGAATTGTTTCCTGCAGACCAAGCACACATTTGAGTAAAATTTTATTAACCTACTTCAATTCGTTCGGAAGCTAGAGTGATTTCCACAGACGGACATCTCTAAATCGACATAAAATTGTATGCTGATCAAGAATATATTTTTAGACTTTGAGGGGTCTAAAATATATATTTCGAGGTGTTACAAACGTAATGACAAATTTAATATACACTCCATACTGTGTGGAGGTATAACAAACCAGCTGAACGAAATTGCAAGATTTAACTACAAGCTGCGGAAATAACCACCTCATCTCACATATTTAGTGGACTTTTGTGCATTCAGTTGCAGCATCCAGTTATTTTTCTTAAACATTAACAAATGAAAAAAAAATTGAAATATTGAAGTTTTTACTCGACTACTCTAATATGTTCAAATATGCTACAACATTCCAGAATCCATGTTCGTCTTTTTAGTACAAAATTTAGTAACACAAATTTGCTATAAAAAGGACGCCTTTTAAGGTTACAAATAATCGGTTTCACCCAACTTTCGATTGTCTTTTTCTATGTATAAGAATATTTTTATTTCTGAAAAATATCTAACCTTGAATATATTTTACATTTGGAACATAAAAGTGTAAGCAAATTGCTTCAGCGGCCAACACAAACAATCGGTCCAGAATACAGTTTTTGAGAAACACACACATTTAATTAACAAAAAGAAGCATTGTATGTATACTCGTATATGTATGTTTAAACGTATAGCACAACATCGTTTCTGTGCAGAAAAAATATTAGAATAAACATCAAAGTGGAAAATTCAAAATATTCAGTCTCAAACTAAAACTGAAAAAGTCAAAACAATTTTAGTCTCTTTGGTGGCGGCTGGTCGTACGTGGGGGCCATTTGAATCCATAGTTCATGGCAGCATCATCGAGGTGCAGTAGCCAGAAAGTCATTTCGACTCTGTGGCGATTTGTTCGTTTTCTTTTTAGCCGCCAGCAAAATGTTATTTTTATACAATTTTCCGGAGCTGAAAGAGGAAAACTGTCGTGCGTTTTACGCAGAGCGATAACGAGTGACAAATGTCTCACTCTCTGAGTTTTTGTTTGCCAAAATGGATGGATTTGGAAAAGTCAGATGTCCATAAAGAGCAAATACAATTATAGTGTGCTACAGAAAAATGGGAAGAAAACGGATGAGGATATGTGGCAAAGTCGAAGACAAAAGTATTCTCAGGCTTACAGATTGAAAAACAGTATCAGTTAGCTAATTTGCACCAATTTCTAACCAGTAAAGAAAGTCTTAAAGTCGGTCGGGGCCGACTTTATGATACCCTACACCACTTTGCTAATTTAGTAGAGCTGCGCATAACAATTAAAAGTTTTTATGGGAGAATTCAATCATACACGCTGTGTGCCGAAGCAATTATATCTTTTAAATTCGGACTTGTATTATCGGGGAGCTATATCCAAATCGGAACCGATCTCGATAAAATTTGGCAAAGATATTTCTGAGCTGTATTTGATATATTTCCTTGAATATTGTTGTTACGGAGTGCATATTACGGCTGTGGGTAATGACAAATCGGATGAACAGTATATATGGGAGCTATAGCTATATCTGAACCGATCTTCACTAAATTTGACATACTAGCTTCTAGAATCAATTCGGTCGTAAGTGCCAAATCTGATCCAATTCGGGCAAATATTAGGTTTGGTGTACAATAAAAGGTAAATCGGACGAAGTTATATATGGGAGCTATATCCAAATCTGAACCGATCTCGACAAAATTTAGCAAATGTATTTCTGAGATGTATTTGATATATTTCCCCAAATATTGTTGTTACAGAGTGCATATTACGGCTGCGGACGACAAAAATAACAAATCGGATGAACAATATATATGGGAGCTATAGCTATATCTGAACCGATTTCGATCAAATTTGGCATACTTATTTTCAGGCCTAATTTGGTTGTATGTGCAAAATTTCATACTATTCGGGCTGATATTACACGTTTGGTGCAAAATAAAAGGCAAATCGGACGAAGATATATATGGGAGCTATATCTAATTTTTTACCGATTATCTCCAATTTCAATAGGGTTCGTCCTTGGGCCAAACAAATGTTGTTTGCAAAGTTTCATCTCAATCGGATAATAAATGCGACCTGCATTTTGTTCACAAGAATACATGGACAGACGGACTGGCATGCATAAATCAACTCAGAAAGTGATTCTATGCAGATCATTAAAAGGAACTATGGGTCTATCTCGTTTCCTTTTGCCTGTTACAAACAAATGCACAAAGACATAATACCCTGACCACCTTGTGGTGTAGGGTATAAAAAGGGTTGGTTGGCACCAGAGCCACAAAATGTACAAATGTTTCCCCAATGTTTTATTTTTACCCAAATATTCACTAAATTACAACGATTATTCCCTCTTCCATAGAACGAGAGACAAAATAATTTTGTTTATTTTGCGTAAGCAACTCCTCGAAATGTTCGCCGGTGTTTCCAAAAATTTTATATTATTGATCGGAGTAATATGCGATGTTCACATTATTAAAAATATTGAACTAGTTGAATGTTTTGACTTGAACACGGTCCCTGTACACGAAAACCTAGTAAACATGTAGGCAAAGGAAGAGAGCATACACAAATATGGCTACTCGACATCGAAAAAATATTTCATCATTTGGTTATTCCTGTATTTTTCAATGTCATCACGTAATATTTATACCCTACACCACATAGCGGTATGGGTATTATGTCTTTGCATATGTTTGTAATATGGAGATGGAAATAGACCCATAGTTACTTTTTATGGATCTTCATAGAATAACTATCTGAGTCGGTTTATGCATGTCACTCCGCCTGTCCATGTATCTTAGTGAAAGAAATGCAGGTCGCATTTATTATCCGATTGAGATTAAATTTTAAAAACAAAATTTGTTTGGCCCAAGCACGGACCGTATTGAATTTGGTGATAATCGAATATATCTCCGATATATCTTTAACCGATTTCGGGTATAAATAAGCTGAATTTTGGCACATCCAACCAAATTCAGTCTAGAAGCAAGTACATTAAATCTGGTGAAAATCGGTTCGGATGTAGTTATGGCTCCCCTATATATGTTTCATCCGATTTGGTGTTTGAGTCCCTCATATTCGTAATATGCATTCGACAACAATGCTATTTGGTACCAGATATCAGATGCAGCCCATAAATACCTCTGCCAAATTTTATCAAGGTCGGTTTAGTTTTGGATATAGCTCCCATACACAGGGTGAGGTGAAAAAACTGCAACCAACTTCAGACTGCTGTCATTTCTAAGCCACTCGCCCGACAGCTCTTAAAATTATTTCAGTGATAGCTCATTATATTGTTTATAAGCGTATGAAAGCATTTTGGTGAGAAATTTACAAAAAAAAAAAATATTCGTGATGGCATTCAAGCGTGATAGTGTGATTTCTTTATATTTGGCTGGAAGACCACAAGTGGCTATCGTTAGAGCACTCCAGCATTTAAATGTGAATAAATAGTTTGTGTCTCGTACCATCGCTCGTTACCGTGATTATTTTGAGTTCTCATTAAAGTTGAGGCGGATTTAAAGAGAATTTGAAGAGCTTGACAACATTTTGCATTCGCAGTGATTTCGAAATCATAATAAGTGGATTATATCCTCGTTAAAAATATTCGGCATTGGTCCTGAATTTGGAATTGGCCATTGAAACACTTCGGAGGTATACTTGCAGTTAAAAGATCACCCATTTATTTTTTATGTATTTACTCAATGGACTAGTCAAATTTGTCTCGATTCCGCAGCTGGTGGACAAAATGTTAATAAAAAATCATTTCGGTTACATGTTTTTAAATGAATTCAATACAATTTTTAGTAAATAAATTAGATGAAAAAAAAAAAACAATAAAATAAATGTAGACTAGTGTATGTTTCGCTCCATGCTGATCACGTAACAAAATGGGCCTCACCACTAATTCCAAAGACTTTGTGTAAGAACAAAAAAGTCTAAACAAAATGTGATTACATTACATTTAGATTACCAATATACCTTGCAAGATATTTATTGTTCTATCCTCCGTCCGTCCTTTCAACCCATTTGTCCATGCGTAAGTGTACATTAGTACATACATAGATGTATACAGAATTAGTATAATATAGACCAAAATTCGGTCGGTTTACCAAATGGAAAATTGTCAGACAGACAATGCCAATGGGAGAAGAAACATCAGACAGAGAGAGAGAGAGAGAGAGAGAAAGAGCGTGGCCAAGATTGTGTGCCAAATGCCTGTTGATCTACCAGTGGTGGTCGAAGGTGGATGGTTTGTTGGTCTGAAATGTTTTGAGTTTGTGCTAATTTTTTAGTATCTTTCGACACTTTGCGCCGTGATCATCGCAGCAGACCACCATCACCATTGACATCATCAACCACATCAGGAGTGAGAACGCACGCGAGAGAGGAAGAGAGGAGAAGAGTACGTGTTTTACATTTTGGCCATTTTCTTCATTAGGTATATCGTATTTAGAAGAGCTTCGACTTTCTTCACAATTAGCCCAAGGAGAGCGTTTATTTTATGCTTTCTTGTGGTCGACGTAGCATCGACTATATTTAGAATATATTCATCATCGCTGTAGTCGAGCGGTGGTGTTTCGAAACGAAAAAGTGAAAATGGGGGAAAATTCGTACTGAAATCTGCAAAAAATTACTGCTATAGTAGGTCACAATTGCTTCGCCAGATTTGACTAATTTGAAAATTTCGCCTTCAATTTCGTTTCAGTTGATCATTTAGACATTTGATGTACCAAAATCCCGGCAATAACAATTCATTAGCTGGTGGAGGAGGAGGCGCTGGCCACGCTACATTAATAAATCCCAACGCCCCAAATATGGATTCCATGCAACAGCAGCAACAACAGCAGCAGCAACAGAATATCAACTACAATGGAATGCAGCAGCAACAACAGCAGCCACAACAACAGCAACAAGGCCCAAATGCTGTCAACAAAAATATGCGCAAGAAGCCCTACGTTAAGATAACGGAGCAGCCGGCCGGTAAAGCCCTAAGATTCCGTTATGAATGTGAGGGCCGCTCAGCCGGCTCAATACCAGGTGTTAACTCAACGCCCGAGAACAAAACATACCCCACCATCGAAATTGTGGGCTATAAGGGTCGTGCAGTGGTTGTTGTTTCCTGTGTCACCAAAGATCAGCCCTATCGGTAAGCAGTGGACTTAAATCTTAAAACTTCTTCCCGTATCTAATAGATTTTTCTCTACTCCACACAACACTCCGGCAGGCCTCATCCCCACAATCTGGTTGGAAAGGAAGGCTGTAAGAAAGGCGTCTGTACCCTAGAGATTAATTCGGAAACAATGAGGGCTGTGTTCAGCAATTTGGGCATACAATGTGTCAAAAAGAAGGACATTGAAGCAGCTCTCAAAGCACGCGAAGAAATTCGGGTGGATCCATTCAAGAGTAAGTACTACCTCTTCGATATTAGAGTTTGAACTTCGATTAACGGGAACGCGTGTCCTTCTTTCCTTGCAGCTGGATTTTCGCATAGATTTCAACCTTCAAGTATTGATCTGAACTCAGTTCGGTTGTGTTTCCAAGTGTTCATGGAGAGCGATCAAAAGGGGCGCTTCACACAACCGCTTCCGCCCGTGGTCTCGGAACCCATCTACGATAAGAAAGCCATGTCGGACCTGGTGATTTGTCGCCTGTGCAGTTGCTCGGCCTCGGTGCTGGGCAATACCCAAATCATTTTGCTGTGTGAAAAAGTTGCCAAAGAAGATATTGCTGTGCGCTTCTTCGAGGAGAAGAATGGCCAATTATTCTGGGAGGCATATGGAGAGTTCCAACACACCGATGTTCACAAGCAGACTGCCATAGCATTTAAAACGCCTCGATATCGTACCATTGATATAACAGGACCTGCTAAGGTAAGCCGGCGCCCTGCTTCGTGACCCTATTACTACATTGTTCTTACCTCATTTTAGGTCTTCATACAGCTGAAGCGGCCTTCGGACGGTGTCACCAGTGAAGCGCTTCCATTCGAATATGTACCCCTAGATTCAGGTAGGAAACGATTTTTGGATTTGCGTCGGAACCTCAAGAGGAAACCCGACTTTGACATATTCCACGAGATATTAAGTGTCGCCAGCAGCGAAAAACAACAGGCGGTCGCACCAGCAATGGAGGTCATCGACCTGAATACGCCGACTAGTGAGCAACCGTCATCGGAAAATCAAACAATTGTTTCCGAACCGACGACCCAACTGACATTGACGAACGAACCGTGTGACGAACGCCTCGATGACGAAGAATCCCAACGACTTAGCCAGCAAGCAATCGATACAATAATCGACGAGAAGATGCGAGAGTTAGAGCAACAGCAGCAGCAAGAGCAACTGAGCGCCATGCAGCAAGTGGTGGAAATCATCAACGCCGAAGATAACCAACTCCAAAGCCTCGCCAGCGATTCGGCAACTCTCCAAGAACAGCAACAACAACAGAATGCCAATGAGAAAATTAACGAATGGATGGAGGCGAATGAAACGCAACAACAAGTTCAACCGATTGGCGGTACTGAATCCGAAGACAAGGCTTTGAGCGATCTTCTAGACCAGGTTGCTGAATTGGATGAAATCTACAGTGAACACGTTGTCCGACGCGACACCTACCACAATGCCCTGCTCAATGAATTAAACGGCATTGATGCGTGTGTTCCTGAAGCGAACGCAGGCTTGGTCGATGGCGGCCAGACGGCCATGGATGTCGATGACAGCTTTGACGATGCAGCTACCTACAGCAGCTTGCAGATCGCTTTCAAGAATCCCATTACCATACCCATGGACAGTATAATGCCACCCTCGCCTCCAGCTTCTATTCAGACTGACATTGGAGGTGATTGTAGTAATTATGATCCGGTGGAGGTGAAGTCTAGTCCGGCAGCGGCGGCCAGTACTCCAGATATTGTACAACAACAGCAATCGCCACCACGGCCAGCGCCGCCTAGGACCGTGTCTTCGCCTCATATGCATGTCACTGCAGTGGAACAGGAAAAAGTACCGCCATTGCCGCCGAAACGTCTACGCAAGCAGGACAGCAATGCCGAGAACCGTTCGATCGAGGCAAACATAGACGCAGATGCTGGACGCAAAATGAGACAACAGGCTCCCATACTAATTACCAAGCCCACGGATCAATTGCCTCCCACCAAACGTTTACCACAAAAGCCCGGCTCCAGCAATACCTTGCCTAGGCAAAAGAAACCTGGATTCTTTTCAAAACTGTTCTCGCGACGCAAGAGCAAATCTGACCTTAGCCAACCCGGTGATCTTGAGACTGGATCGAAGGCTGCTTCCAAGGCTGGATCGAAAGCTGCAAGCCCAGACGCAAGTCGAGAGCCTAGTATTGGATATTTCGATCTAAAGGATAATCACCGATCATCCTTGCGATCGGCGAAATCATTGCAACCACCCTCCTTCCCAAGTTCGCCTTCAAAGACCACAGAGAAAGTTGGCAAACCTGTAGCACGAAGTGTCAGCAGTGTATCTGGCAAGCGCCGTCTTCTGTACCACACGAACGCCGATGTCATACACATCCCGCTGAAGGGCAATCTATATCCCGATGAAGAATACTCACATGCCAGTACCATAACCTTGGCCAATACCCTGGATCAAAATACAGTGTCCGCCTTAGAGCAAGCCCAAATACCCATTACAGATGGCAATATGGAGCTGGTAGCCATTGCCGATCGAGAGGGTCTGCGTACTCTGGCTGATGGCCAGTTCAATGTCGAACTAGATCCCAGCATGGATCTGACGGAGGCAGAACACTATGCCCTCTACACGACAATGCCGCCCAAGGCGACGGCCAGTGAATTCGATGAGGCCTCTGCCTATTATGCGCCCGTGGACGCAGGAGAAATACTCTCGCCGGAGGAGGTGGCCCAGCGATTGTTGGCTGCCAATCGTCAAAATTAGAACATCACCCGCTCAATAGGTGTTTGTCTACTTGTCGTCCAAATCGTGACGACTTTTGTGGCTAAATCGAGAGAATCTTCTTGAAAAGCTTACAAAATGGTCATTGCGAGGTGCCAGGAATTTTACACTGCTGCTGTTGCTGCAGGTGATGCTCTAGCTCTCGCTCAATACTCTCTTGCTCGTACTACTATCTATTTGTATTTAAATAGTGACGCCGCCCTCACACCTACAGACACTCACAAATAGGTGTTGACGTGTTCGAGGTGTTGACGTCACAATGAAATTGTGTAATTTGCCAAAAAAAATATTATTTTTTTTTTAAACCAACCAACAAAAACAACAGCTCTCTTTCTCTCTGCGCACACTCTCCTGTTACTTTCGACAAGGAAACATTTGTTTGAGAACCCGGTATTGCTCCCGGTATTTTGTTAAAATCAACGCCACACCAAAGTTTTTGGGGTGTGTGCGATCGATTCAATTGTTGGAATTTTGTATTAGTCCAAAATATATTTGTATTTCATTGTTGACGGTGCTCAACGGTTAAAAAATGGAGCCCAACGAATCTAGTCTTAAACTCAAGAATCCAAAGCAGCCGCATTAGTTTGTAGTAGTTCCGCAAAAAAAAAAAACGGGCGCACTAACAGAATTTTATTCAATATTTTTATACATGAATAGAAATTTATTTTTATTATTGTTATTGTTATAGAATAATATTATGTGCACAAAATCACAGATGCACCCATACATACAGATATTGTTAAACAATAGCGAACTCCTAAAAGAGTTGGCAAAAATGTTTTTGGTCAAGAACAAAATGGTTCTGAAAATATTGTAATTTGTATTGAATCTAAAAAACAAACAAAAGAAATTGTAATGGAATCCCCTCTAGGGATCCAATATGCGAATTTACATTTCTAGAATTTAAAATCTATCCTAATTACAACAAACAACTACTACTATTATTACATTTGTATTTGTATTCACATCTATTGGTATTTGTAAGTTAGAATTAAAATTAAACTTAAAACTTTTTGGAAAATGGATGAGTCGCTGCTCGACCATTTCCCGAACGGCATAGAACTTCTTGCATATGTATTGAAAACAGAAAAAAAAAAAACAAACATAAACCAAAATCAACAAAATATATATTTGTAATCAAAACTCTTTATTTTAGATCCCGCGCACTTGAGACGTAAACGCCAAAAAACGAATGGCGATCCGGTTCATTTGTTGTTGCAACAACAGCAGAAACAGCATCAGAATGATCATTCAGACGCCCGTAAGTTGCAAATTTTCTCTCATTTATTGGTGGTGGTGGTGGTGACGATGGGTGGGTGGGTGTTTGGGTGTGGGTGTGTGTGTGTGTGTGTGTGTGATTGGTTTTGATAGTTTTGCTCAATTTTAGAATAGATTTGCGGTATTTGGGAAAATATTTATTTGATTGTCGTTCGTTAATTGTTATGAACAATTGAAAACGTTTGAAGAAAAGGTAGAAAAAGGATTGGGATTGTTCGAATTGTAAATAATGAGGAAATGGACATACGCAATTAAGAGGTGCTCATGTAATTATGTAACGAACAAATTGTATTTGTATGCCTCAAATTTCATTCAAGTCGAACTAGTTTTTAAAATATATGCAGTGTGAATTTTTGAATTATTATCTTTTAACATTGTGGTCCCTCGTTTGTCTACATATTTCCATCAACCTGTTCATCAGATAGAGCTGGTTCGAGCAAGCATTAGGCTGCATTTTTATTTTAACTATAATTATTTTATTACTATTGTTATTATATAATTATAATTATTATATACTATATACTATTTATATTATGTACTATACGATTATTTTTTACTAGCTGGCCCGGTCCGCGTTGCCGGACCCTACTTTTAGTTTTTAATGCATATTTTTTAAAGCATTATAGAACACTGATCTGAATGATTTCAAAGTAGTCAAAGATAATTGGTCTTTTACACTCATTACCGTAATATAGGAATTAATTTATAGAACAGTGTGGCTTGTTTGTTCGGGATACCGTAGTATTTTGTTTTTGCAAAATGGTCTGGCTTTATCCCTTTATTGTTGTTTTTATAAAAACAACGTTTGTTTATTAGTGGAGAACGATGGTAATGTTTACCAGGGGGTAAGGCAGGGAATACCTAGGTTTCGGAAAGAGCCACCAATCCTCATCAGTTCCCTTGTTTTTGCCTGGGATATTCTCCCCAGAAGTTATTTTAAAAATAACTTCTATGACAAAAAAACATTTTTTACCCAAGTGACGAGATCGTAAGCTCAATAGAAGAGGAACCAAAGAATTAAATAAAACTAAAATTCTCTTGGAAAGTCTTCTAAATCTTACAACCGCACTTATAAACATTTACATCTTTCTCCACTTGTTATGCTTTCGTTCAGCCTGAACGAAGCAGCATAACCATGTAAGTTGGTTTTGTCTGTTACAACAAAAACCCCTTCGTCGACCGTGCCTTGTCTATTAATAGAACAGTGTGGCTTGTTTGTTCGGGATACCGTAGTATTTTGTTTTTGCAAAATGGTCTGGCTTTATCCCTTTATTGTTGTTTTTATAAAAACTACGTTTTTTTCTTAGTGGAGAACGATGGTAATGTTTACCAGGGGGTAAGGCAGGGAATACCTAGGTTTCGGAAAGAGCCACCAATCCTCATCAGTTCCCTTGTTTTTGCCTGGGATATTCTCCCCAGAAGTTATTTTAAAAATAACTTCTATGACAAAAAAACATTTTTTACCCAAGTGACGAGATCGTAAGCTCAATAGAAGACTTTCCAAGAGAATTTTAGTTTTATTTAATTCTTTGGTTCCTCTTCTATTGAGCTTACGATCTCGTCACTTGGGTAAAAAATGTTTTTTTGTCATAGAAGTTATTTTTAAAATAACTTCTGGGGAGAATATCCCAGGCAAAAACAAGGGAACTGATGAGGATTGGTGGCTCTTTCCGAAACCTAGGTATTCCCTGCCTTACGCCCTGGTAAACATTACCATCGTTCTCCACTAATAAACAAACGTTGTTTTTATAAAAACAACAATAAAGGGATAAAGCCAGACCATTTTGCAAAAACAAAATACTACGGTATCCCGAACAAACAAGCCACACTGTTCTATTAATAGACAAGGCACGGTCGACGAAGGGGTTTTTGTTGTAACAGACAAAACCAACTTACATGGTTATGCTGCTTCGTTCAGGCTGAACGAAAGCATAACAAGTGGAGAAAGATGTAAATGTTTATAAGTGCGGTTGTAAGATTTAGAAGACTTTCCAAGAGAATTTTAGTTTTATTTAATTCTTTGGTTCCTCTTCTATTGAGCTTACGATCTCGTCACTTGGGTAAAAAATGTTTTTTTGTCATAGAAGTTATTTTTAAAATAACTTCTGGGGAGAATATCCCAGGCAAAAACAAGGGAACTGATGAGGATTGGTGGCTCTTTCCGAAACCTAGGTATTCCCTGCCTTACCCCCTGGTAAACATTACCATCGTTCTCCACTAATAAACAAACGTTGTTTTTATAAAAACAACAATAAAGGGATAAAGCCAGACCATTTTGCAAAAACGGAATTAATTTATTTTTGTCATTAAAATTGTGCGTTGGAGAACCCATAAAGTCCATATTTTTCTTCATAGTATAGGGTAAGTGTGCCTAAGTTCGGCATGTCCCAGTAGTCGGCACTTTTTATTTTTAAGCCCAAATAAATGAAACTATTGTAACTAAATGTATTTTGTTTACTTCAAATATATTGTCAGCTATCTTTGTGCACAATTTCGCTAAGAAAAGATGAATTATTCTAATAAAAATTAAATTTTTGTCTGTGAAGGTCCTCGACAATTCATATTCTTAAGAAAAGTACAATAAAGACGTCGAATCAGTTTAACTAAACAAAAATATTATATTTTAATGAATTAATTTATTATTATTATTAATTATTCTTACAAAAAAAATGGTATGCCGACTGCTGGAACATGCGATACCGACAATTGGCAAGTGGTGCCGACTACTGGCAAAAAAGCATTGTTTTAATAAAACTACAAATTTATGAAATTTAATAAAAAGTTATTAAAACTTTATTTATTATTGCAAAAACTATACAAAATTTCGAATCTGAATAAATTAACTTTGTAATAATTGAAATGTTCCACTCAAAATGGTGAGCGATTAAAAACGCGAAAATCCTAAAAGTGCCGACTACTGGTACACTTACCCTAATTCAATAACGATCCAAAAAAATAATATTCGTAATTTTTTCATGTTTCTGCCACAATTTGATATTTCGGAGTTTATGGCATGTAGACGTACATCCCACATCTACGTTCCAAACCAATATTCTAGTTAAAAATTCAATAGTATACCAAATTTTCTTTTCTGACCAAACCTTGGTTAGGAAAGTGGATTTGCGGGTACACTAATGTGGGAACTATACTCAAATAAATGCCTATGTGGACAATTATCTGTAAGACGATTCTCCAACCCAGAGTAGCCTAAATACAATTTTTTAGCCAAATCAATTGATGAATGTGATCAAGAGCAAGATGGGCTCCACTCCAAAAGTCAAAATATTATGAGAAGAGGTTTTTTACACCCGTAGAAACAAAGATGCCAAATAAAGGCCTGAAAAATGAAAAAAATGTCCAAAACCCCGAATATAGCTTAAATTATATGATGGTTATGCCAAAACGTGATAATTTTTTGCGAGGATGGTTTCTTCTCAAATTACCAACTTTTGCTAAAATGCGTATGAGTAAAATATGGTTAAAATGTAAACTATACTTGAAAAAGGATTGTACCCTTATCCGGGGGTCATATATCATGACCTGCAAAAGCGATTTAAGATATCTTGAAAGTTTAGGAAGTTTTTTTCTTTTTTTCCTAAATGTCCAATTCGCTCTACCATTTTGAACCCTTTATATTCGGTATTTCACTGATTGCCGTTCCAATGAATTGCATTTTGAGTTCTCATTGGGCGGATTATTGTAATATGAAAAAAATAGGTCCACATATAAGGGTTATACCAAAGCATTGTCCTATTCTTATAATTATTTGAAAAAATGTGTTGTTCTTCCTAAAATCTCAAATTACCAACATTTGAGGAATTTGAAAGGGGCTACATCATTTGAGGGACTACATCAATTTAGGCCGACCCTTTGTGTTTGGTTAAGCTATATAAAATGGACCCTAAAAACGTTTGATCCGAAACCCCTTTTTGGGATTTTTATGTACCAACCAAACAATTTTCCAAGTGTAATTTCCCGCAGTGTAATTACTGATTATAGCGCATAGTCACCGTATAACGTTACTTGGGAGTTAAGGTTACTTTTAAGGTATCGGAAGAATTTCCCGAGGATATGAATCCTTTTCTTTCTAAATTTTCAATTTGCTCCACTATTTTGTATAGTTCGCATATAACAGTGCTCTTCATATTCGGTATTTCACTGATTGCAGTCCCAATGAATTTTGCATTTTAAGTTCTCATTGGATGGATTATTTCCATATCTAGTCAATTTCCATTGAATTTTTTTTCGATTTTTCCCGATTTGAGAATTTTTGCCATGAGATCTCTTTTTTCGTGTTTTTTTAGCGATTTTGAAAAAGTAATTATCTTTTAACTTTGGTCTAACTGCGTTAAGTTATTTCGATATCATCTGACTGAATTCCATGCAACCCGCCATCAATTTCAGTTCTCAAGAAATCAAGTCAATTAAATAAATTGTTTTTAATATTCGAATTAAAAAAAAATATAAAAAAACACTACAAATGTACATTAGAAAAAAGTAAGTCAAAATGGAAAAAAATCATGCAAAATAAAACATTACTATTGTACATTTCAAAAGTCAAAATTGTTCACGCAGAACAATGCATTTTTACGCGATTTTTTTGAATATTATCCTTTTCGGAAAACAGACAATTCCGAATTTGTATGAATCGTTAAAATCAGATCAGCGGATCTTGAGTTATAAGCGTAGTAACTAACACAACTTACATTTATATATATATAGATTATAATGTTATACATTTTTATTATTATTATTATTTTTATTATTATTATTATTATTATTATTATTATTATTATTATTATTATTATTTTATTATTATTATTATTATTATTATTATTATTATTATTATT